GGGTGGAATGGGATGACCTTTAAGGTCCCTTCCATCCCAAACCATTCTGTGATTCTGTGACTCAGGAATATTGTGCAGGGTGGAAATTCAAGCTGGTAAAATCCAACTCAGCTCATCACAGGTAAACTGGGCTTTTCTGAGGTTTCTTGCCTGGCCTGAAAGTGTGGGTGAGTTAAAAAATACTCTGCAGTGCAGAGCTGAACTTGTTCGGGTTTGTTTTCCCAAGCATCCCTGGGCAGGTGTGGGTGGAACGGCCAGACAGCTGCCAGGCGGCTTCTGGTCCTGGAGACTTGGAGTTCCTCACCTGTTGCAGAGAAAACAGCGCTGGAATTGATGAGCATTTAGAGATGGTTTGGTTTAATCTCCCCATCGTGTCCTGCAAATGAGTATAAAACTTTTGACGTGTTCAGAAGGGAAAGTTGACCTTTGTCGACACCAATTCTCTGCTTGAGAGGAACTTCCAAGGGCTTTGGAGGGTTCATTGACTTCTGAGGATAAAGGCAGGTGTTTTCCTTAACGTTAATGGGTACACCAGGCTGATGTATTCACACTTGTCAGTACTTTGGATGTGTTTATGTGGGTCAAATTCCAGCGGGGCAGCGAGGGGGAAGGTTGGCTCCTCTCAGGGGTGTGTGGAGCTGCTCCCGCTGCTGCTGCCGCGGCTCCTTCAAAGGGAGGAGGAATGCTGACCTGACTCAGTGATGGGCATATTAGTTGCACTGTGTTTATTTTATTAGTGAGACCTTGTGGAAGCGTGCTGCCACTTGGGAAGGAGCCAGCCAAGCCTCCAGCGCAGCAAACTGATGGCTAAATACCCAAAAACATGGAATTCAGAGGTGGTTTCTTGTGTCTGTTTCGTGTTGGTCTTTAAGGAATAACAATGCCTTCCTTTCTCGTCAGCTCCCTGAAAGGAGAGCGCAGCCAGTTAGTGGTCTCTTCTCCCAGGTAACAAGTGGCAGGACAAGAGGAAATGGTCTCAAGTTGCACCATGGGAGGTTTAGGTTGGGTATTGGGAAAAATTTGTTCATGGAAAGGGTTGTCAAGCGTTGGAACAGGCTGCCCAGGGCAGTGGTGGAGGGATTTAGAAGCCGTGTAGATGTGACACTGGGGGACGTGGTTTTGGTGGTGACATGGGAGTGCTGGGTTAGCGGCTGGACTGGATGATCTTGGAGGGCTTTCCCAACCTAAATGATTCCAGGATTTATGATCCCTTCTGTGAGGGTTTCTCCTGGTCAGCCCTTTGCTGCCATGCTGAGACTCCACCTCGGGCATTCACCCAACTCCTGTGTTCAATCATTCCTTTAACACAAACCCCCCAGCCTTGCCCTGTTTCATGCAAAGCAATTATGGTATTGATGAGGGCTCAAGAATTTGGGGGCAAATTTCATCCATGGGGCTGGATTGCTGGTCCTTTAGCTTTTCATTGGAGTGGTGGAAAAGGATTGAAGTGTGTACAGCATCCCTGGGACATTTTCTGTACCTCTTCATTTGTGAGGCACCAAATTGAGGTGTTTCAGCTCCCTGGGGAGCGGAGGGGTGGGAGGCAGCAGAGGCCACACTGCCCACTCAGGCGCCTTTGGAAGTGCAATTCCTGCTGCCAGGTTGTTTAATGATAAATGCCCTCGGGCTGCTAACGAGTTACTGATTGAGTGACTGTCCCTGTGAGGCTGAGGATGAAGAAGGAGGCAGAGGATGATGGAGAGCAATTCCACTGCTGGGGCCGTTCTCCCCTCGCAGCAGTTCAGCGTTGCTGACCTTGTTGTGGTAGTGGCTTATTTTTCCTTAAATGTTGGTGTGGGAATATGGGTAAGAGTCTTTTCTCTTGTTCATTTCTGCTTTTTTGTTTGAATGGTGGGTTTTTTTCGGGGCTGGCTTTTTGGTGAAAGCCTCCATTATTTTCTTGTAGTTTTCACTTGTGTATTTTGTGTGTTGTGCTGGGGGGAGCCAGGCTGGGAGAGCTGGGGGGTTCACCTGGAGAAGAGAAGGCTCCAGGGAGACCTCAGAGAGCCTAAAGGGGCTCCAAGAGAGCTGGGGAGGGACTTTGGATGAAGGGAACAGCTTCAAACTGACAAATGGCAGGGTTAGATGGGATATTGGGAAGAAATTCATCCCTGTAAGGGGGTGAGGCCCTGGCACAGGGTGCCCAGAGAAGCTGTGGTTGCCCCATCCCTGGAAGTGTCCAAGGCCAGGTTGGATGGGGCTTGGAGCAACCTGGTCTAGGAAGGGGATGGAATAAGATGACCTTTAAGGTCCCTTCCAACCCAACCCGTTCTGGGATTCTGTGATTTGCTCTGTTTTGTGCAAACCCTCTGCCCCTTTCACCCCCTATAGAAAGGCTCCTATAGCTTGGGAACAAGGTGGAATCAGCCATGGCACAAACCTCTCCCCTGGCCTCTGTGTGCTGGGTGTGAGCAGCTCTGCCCCTTGCCTATTACAGGGTGCTGGGCCAGATGCCCTGATAACACAAACAACCCTCAGCTACAGCAGTTTCAGACAAAGACTCTCCAAACCCATTTATTCTGCCTTGTGGAAAAATCCTGGCCAAAGCTGGGCCCTATTAGCCAACCTGTCTGCTCGGGATGGCACAAGGACAGGCACATCCTCCGTGCTTCCCCCTCTCAGGGAGCTCCCTTTGCCATTCATGGCTCCATGGTTCCTGGGGTGCAGCCACCCTTTCGTGTAATTAAGCTCGAGTTGCAGAGCTCCCATTAATTATCGAGTCTCCTGTCTCTTGGCTTCTCGTCTGGGAGACTTGGGTCTTGGTGTCTGGTCTGGGTTTTTAGGGAAAGGGTGCTCTGTGCTGATCTTTCCTCCTCCCAGTCTTCCTGCAGGGTGAACAGGAACACGGTCAGTGGCTATTTCCTTGCTGGCAGAGACATGGCCTGGTGGCCAGTAAGTAGAGACCTCTCTGTCCCTCTGTGGCACCCTGGCCACAGGGACATCCTGTGCACCACTGTCCCTCCCACCAAATCCCTTCCCTGCTTTCTCCACTGCCCACGCTTTCCCCCACCCTGCCCACCTCCTCCTGCCAGGATTTATGTCCTTGGAGCTGCATTTCCCTTCTCATTGCACAAAGGGTACTGGAGCCCACTGGGCTTGTCGGGCTTCCCTGAGCCTGGGGAGGGATCCTTGGAGTCCAATATCCATCCCCACTGTCCCTGCGTGCTCCTGGTGGCTCCAACAAATCATGGGTGTCCCAAGTTTGGTTTTTCCTTCTCGTTTTGGTACAATCTTCACAAACTGGCTGTAGGTCCTTCCCATGCCTGGTACTGGCTCCTTGCACGTGGCCACCATCTGGGCAGGGTGAGTGGCCACCATGGCAAATACAGCAACATGTGGCTCCTCTTCATCCTCCTGAAGGCAAGAAAGTCCATCCCAAATCCACCATGGATGTCCAGATGAGCTGGATCCATGGGCATGCTGATTCCTAGGACTCACAGCTACCTGAGTTTTACCTATTAAGGGATTTTCTTGCAAAAAGGAAATCCCACGTGGGGGCCTTTTGGCCACGCTTCGTTTCAGAAGTGGAAGGGATGTCTGTGCCCTGTTGCTCCCGTTCAGGCATTATTTTTCCCTGCCTCCTTTTCCTGAATTATCCCCTCGGGGCTGCGCTGGTGGGGAAGCACCAAAGCTGGTCCGTGCAGAGCCGTGGGGATCCAGCGTTTGGGCACCTGCAGCCCCTCCTCTGCTCCCGCAGATCGGTGCCTCCCTCTTTGCCAGCAGCGAGGGCTCCGGGCTCTTCATCGGCCTGGCCGGGAGCGGCGCCGCCGGGGGAATCGCTGTCGCCGGCTTCGAGTGGAATGTAAGAAATGTGCCGTGTCATTAAGGAAATGAGTTTGTCGCAGCAGATGGCCCATTTCGCTGTCTCGAAAGGTTTAGGAGGAGCCGTGCAGGGGGGTAATTAACACAACCCTGCTAACTCAGCTCCTCCGGCTCGTGTAGGGCGAGTTCGCAGCCAGCTCAGCTCCACGTGCTCAGGGAAAAGGACATTTTGGATCCAATTTCCTAATCCAGCCCCCGCAGACCCTGACAGGGAAATGACTGAATAGGTCACCCATTCCCTGCTTCCCTGCACGTTTAATCCAAAGTCCTTGGGTTCTGCAGCAAAAAAAAAAAAAAAAAAAGGCATTTGGCTTGTGTGGTGCTCAAGGAGTTGGTGGGAAATGTCCAGTCAGGAGCTGAAGGGCTGAGGGGAGCAGGTTCCTGTTGGCAGGGGTGCTGGGGGATCTCCACCAGAACCCCATGCCTGCAGTCTGAAGCCATTTGGGGCTGTAAATGTACCCTCAGGGGTAATCCGGGACCGGGTCAGGAGCAGGGACAGGGTCTAGGAATGCAGTCAGTGTCGAGCTGCAGCAGGATCCATGTTTTTTTCTCTCTGTGCCATGTTCCTCCTTCCCAACAGGCGACTTATGCTCTTCTGGCACTCGCCTGGGTGTTCGTGCCAGTTTACATCTCATCTGGGGTATGTACAGCTGTCCTGAGCCTGCTCTGGGGACCTCTGCTCCCAGGAGGACTGTCACCACTGTCCCGTGGGACTCCTGAGTCCTGCCCTGGAATACTGCTGTCCCCTTGCCCCATCCCTGGAGGGTGGGCCCTGGACAGGGCAGTGATCTCTCTCTCCCCCCCAGCAGATTGTCACAGTGCCCGAGTATCTCCAGCGGAGGTTTGGAGGGGAGAGGATCAGGATGTACCTTTCCAGCCTGTCACTCCTGCTCTCCATCTTCATCAAAATCTCAGTGAGTAGCTCCCCCTTAACTTTGTCACAAATCCACAGCTGATTTCCAGCTATCAAAACGTTATTTTTGGGCTCAAACCTTGTGTAGCCAAATCAGGGGAGAGCAGCTGCTGCAGGATGCTACAGGAGGCAAAAGTGGGACAAAAAGTGGGAATTTGTGGGCAGGTGCTCTCTGTGACACCCCATGAGTTCTTAGGCAGATCCAGCAGTGATGTCCATGTCCATGTGGCCCAGACAGGGCATGTCAGGATTCCCAAACTTGCCTTATAGCAGAGGTTGTGGGTGAAATGTGCTCTGAGGTCTGGATTTGTCTCCGTGCTCTGGCAGTGAGGCTTTCCAGCATCCCCAAAGGACCCAGCAGAGCCAGGCACTGAGTTGGGAATGCATTCATTGCTTTAGGGAGCGTGGGTGGGTTTTCTGAGGAAAGGAAGCCTTGCTGCAGCTGTAAGATATTCAAGCCTGTACAGATAGTGCCTGATTTCCAGGCACTTTTCCACAGGGATGTTTTCCCCTCATTTTGACCTCGTTCACAACTCCCTGTGTGCAGCCTCCGCTCACGCTGGTAACCATGGGAAGAGTTTATCCGAGGTAAAACAGCCAAAGAGCCTGTGATACCAGGTCTAGGGCAAGCAGGAGAGAGCTGGGCACAGACAGCCCTGGGGGGCTGGAGACAGCGAGACAGAGATCAAGAGCAAACAGCTCAGAAAACCTGGAGAGAAAACCTGCCCGAGGGAGAACCGAGCTCTGATGGAGCAGGTGGATCCGACCTGGGCTCTGCTGGGGCTGAAAGAAAAGTGCTTTTGCAGGTGTCTGGCTGCAAGAGAAGTGCTTTTGCATGAGGCTGGCTGTGAGCAGAGGCTGGCTGAGGCAGGAGGGGCACTGCTGCTGTGTGTGTCTCCCCACGTCGAGGCGCTCAGCGCCTGCCTCTGCGCTTGGCAGCTCCGTCCGCCTGGCTGGATGCAGCATCCCTCCCTGCACGGTGTCTCTGCAGCCCCAGGCCCTGGGCTGAGCTGTGGGGGGATCCTCCGGGTCCTCCTCTGAGGGATGTGGGGGCTGGAGCAGCCCACAGACAGGGCTCTCTGTGCACACCCATCAGCACTTAGTGCAAAGGGAGGGGCTGTGTCCCCTCGGGCAGAGCCCTGCACTGAGGGGATGTCCCTGGCTCCAGGAGACCCCTGTCTCCTTCCCAAGCTGCTCTCTGACCTTGGGCAAGGAGTTATGTTTTGCATTTAACAGGCAAGTTGCAGGGGAGGTGGCAGCCCTTTCCCCATCCCTGCTGGCTCAGGGCTTCCAGAGTGGCAGAGGTGATGCTGGTGACTCCATTGGTGCAGCTGCCACCTGTATTTCCCCCACAAAACCATGCCCTGTCCTGCTGAAGGGTGTTCTTCCCATAAAATTAATATTCTTTATATCCTAATCATATATACTGTTGAAAATCCTACAGCATCATTCCTGAAATCATCTTGGCTCCTGGAGCACCAGTTCAGTTTCCAAGTGTGGGCAGTGATGCTCTGATTATTCCCTGATGTCCAGTGAACTCTTGTCCCTGATTCCCCTCCTGTGTCACATCTCTCCCCTGCTCCCTTCAAAGACCCAGGAGGAGCCTGGGGGAGATGCTGGAGCACGTTTGTCTGTGGTGCTGGACCCTGGTTCTGTGATCTGCAGGGAATCTGTGGGATTCACACAGATCCCTGCTGGTGTTTAAAAGGAAAAGCTGGAACCTGGGATAGGATTTCTGCTGGGGTAGTTTGTTCTTGATGGTCTGAAGAAGAGACCATTGGTAGTTTTGAAGTTGTCTTGGAGTCTCTTTCCAGACTATCACCCATGTCCCCTCTTCTCTTACCAGATGGTGCAGGGGGCTGTGCTTGGTCTCTTTGGTTTCCAGTCTCTCCATGGCTTTGCCCCGGGGGACGGATGTCCTACAAACTCATTCTTACCTTGGGAGATGGTTGTGGTGTCAACCCTTGCCTAACACCAGATGACCCTGTAGATGACCCCTGGGCAGTGCCTGCTCCAGTGGGAACCTCTGCTGTTCTCTGGGCCCTTCTCAGCACAACCTTTTGTTTGGAGCCCGGTGGACACTCCCAAGCTCCTCTTCCCAAGCCTTTCCTCAGCCAGTGCTGTAGTTTCTTTGGTCTGCTGAGCTTTTTGTGATCTCTGAGTCAGGCAGGATGCAACAGAAGAGGAATCAGCCTAATAAGGGGATTATCTTGGCATCTGGCTCCATTCACAGCAAAGCCCACAGACAATGGCTGTTTCCAGCAGTGGGTTGGGATGAATGTCTGCAGACACAGGGGCGTTGCCAAACTGGCCCAGTGTCCCCATGTCCCTGTCCCCGGTGGTGGCCGCAGTGGGGAGTGGGAGGGGAGTATGAAGCTTCGAGCAATTAGGCAGGGCTGTCTCCTGGGGAGGTTCCTTTGGACCTTGCTGGGGGCTGCCTCAAAGCCCAGGATTAGCTGGGCTTTTCCTGCCCTCTCTCCCTGCAGACGTTGTATTTATGGATGGATCTCTGCTCCGTGTTCTCCCGAGCTGAGACACGGCACCAGTGCTGCTCCCTTGGCTCTTCTTTCGGGACAGGGGGGATGACAGTCCCTCCTCTACTGGAATCCCCCCTTTGTTGGACTCCATCTTTCCAGGTTTCATGGCAGGTTGCAGCAGGGCAGCCCAAAATCCTGCTGAGAGATGTCACCCCCCCAGGTAGGAACAGGGGAGGAGCCCCAGCCCTGGCGAAGAGCCCCTGGAGACTCCTCTGTACCCTGGGTAACTCGTTCTACCAAGGCTTTGGCTTCACCAATTGTTAATCCCAAGCTGTCTCCAAAGCCCATTTTCATTGGGAAGGCATTAACAACGTTGGGTAAGAACAAGTTTCCAAGTGAGGTCACCGGTGGAGGCAGGGACCTCTCTGGATTATGAAGCCTGACTTCAAAGGCTTCTCCCCTCCTTTTAAGGTTGAAAGGACTTATTTTATGAATAGGTCATGCCTGGTTTTAATTAGCTTGTTTTTGTGTTTGGGATGTCTTATTAACAACTCGGTCACATGTGCTTTTATTTTTTCCCACCCTTGCAGAATTAGCAGGAAGGGAGGTGGAGGTACCTCTGCTTCCTCATAGCAAAGCCTTCGACTCATTTGCAGACGACTGCAGAAATGATTAAGCATTGAGAAAGCCAGGAGAAGCAATTATGAAATATCTTGTCCAGGGATGAATCTTCCAGCTGGGCTGTGGGGAAGGGTTGCTGGAGAAGCAGGAAGTCACAGGGGAGAAAAACTTCCTGGCAGGACGCTGACGTGACAAGTGATGGATCCCTCCAAGGGACGTGAGGAGCTCTGGAAGACACCAAGGATGCTTGGCTGGCCCTGTGCTAGGAAGATTTAAAATATTTTGTGTTCCCACTTCAGGTTGTGTTGTGAGGAGGTGGCTGAGGGCCCTTGGTTGAGGCTTTTCTGCCTCATGTCGCTGAAGCTTGCGCCGTGTGAATGGTTTAGGTGTCCTTTTGTAGGGTTCTTGGTGGTATCAAGCTGTGGTTGGATTGCATTTGTGGAGGAAAGGCATCAAGGAGCCACTGGTAGAGGTTATGGCATGGTTCCCCATTAGTTGGTTCCTCTTCAAGAGGTCATTGCAGGGCTGAATTCCCTCTTGGTGCTCACAAGGACTCTCCCAGACACGTGGCCAATCCCAGGTGCAGCTGAGGACACGTAGTACCTCCCTTGGGAATGCCAGGCATGACTGTGGTGTAAAGGCTAGTTCAGATGTCATGGAAGAGTCCCTGAGTTAGGATCCTCAAGATGGTGGTTACTGTAAGTGCCCTTCTGGTTGGTTTGACTTGATTTAACCAAGGTTATGCCCAACGCTGTGGGCTCACCTGCTTGGGAATGGCTTTTGTGCTGTGCTGAAGCTGGACATGGGCTCACCTACTGGGTTTTGGGCTGATGGAGCCAACACACACCTTGGCTTTTGCACTGCATGATCCAGCATAGCCCCTCTCCATCACTGGAGGATGGTTCTCAGCTCCTGTGTGGGAGCATCCCGGAGCAGTGCTGGGAGGAGGGAGGGCAGAGTGGGGGCAAGGAGGTGTGATATGGGAAATAACACCAGTCCTACACCTTACTAATCCCAAGAGACTGCTCCTGCATGATTGGGCAAGACAGCCCTGCTGCTGGGGGATGGTTTTTGGGAGGTGTGTGAAGAGAGATGTCAAATCAGAGCTGATATCTTGGCTGTGGGAACCCATCGCGGCCCTGGGCGAGGGTGTGGAGTCGGCCTGTCTTGCCTCTTCCTGCCCCTTCTGGCCTCATTCCCTTCTCCAAACAAGGTTTTTGTGAAGATGGCCCAGCTGAGCGTGGGGATGGCTGAGCTCAGCTCTGGGTGGAGGCGTGGTGGTGGCACTGCCACTGCCACTGTGCCTGGTCCTGCCACGGCATCGCTGCTTTTGTTGGAGGAGCTGCCCCAGCTCCGAGTCTCCACTTTAATCTCATTTCCTCCAAACCATGACAACCCCCCTGTGTGTACAATGACAGCTGGAGCTGCCTGCTCTGCTCCTCTGGGGCTGTGACACCCATCTGCAGCAGTGACAGAGCCACCCACCTGGGACCCTCGGCTTCAGGAGTGTCCTCCTGGAATGTGCCGTGTGATGTCAGAGAAGGCTCCATGGACACCTCATTGTGGCTTTCCAGTACTTAAAGGGGCTTATAAAAAAGAGGGAGAGTGACTTTTTATGTGGGCAGATAGTGATAGGACCAGGGGGAATGGTTTTAAATTAAAAGAGGAACGGTTGGATATTAGGGAAAAATTCTTCCCTGTGAGGGTGGGGAGGCCCTGGCACAGGTTACCCAGAGAAGCTGTGGCTGCCCCATCCCTGCAAGTGTCCAAGGCTGGGTTGGATGGGATAGGGGAAGGTGTCCCTGCCCATGGCAGGGGATTAGAATGAGATAGGCTTTAATATCCCTTCCAACCCACACCATTCCAGGGTTCTGTGTCCTCCCTGAACCCACAGAGCTGGCTGTTTCCCTACTGTGCTGCTCTTGCAACAGCCCTTGGGTGGTGGATGTCACCTGTCCCAGACCTCCTGTTCCTTCTTCCACTCACAGACAGACCTGTATTCGGGGGCCCTCTTCGTGCAAGTCTGCCTGGGCTGGGACCTCTACCTCTCCACTGTGCTCATGCTGGTGGTCACTGGGCTCTACACCATCGCAGGTAGGTCGCTCATCATCCACTGGCCTCAATTTTTCTACTTCTTTTATTGAGCCACACCACTTACCCTCCTACTTTTATTTTATTATTGTTATTCTTTGGAGGTTCCCCGGGGTTTATACCAGTGGGGTTCACATCCCTGCCCCAGCCAGCATCTGAGCAGCCTCCTGGAGAGTCAGCTCAGGTGATGACTCAGCCCATGACCTCTCCTTTGTCTTTACATCTTTTCATTTGTAATAACTCCTCCCCCACCATGTACTTAAGCACTTTCTTGTGTGTGCACCTATTTGTAACAGCAATAATCAGGGCTTCTCCCATTACAGGACTATTATTATGGAATCTACAACCCGAGAGCCCTTGACCCAACTCCTTTCCCTCCCTCTTACCCTGCCCTCAGTGCAACCTGCTGCCCTCTCTCCACTAAGCTTTCAGGAATATTTCTTGCCCGTGCTTCCCCGTTGTGGGACCAGCTATTTTTGTGCAGGGTCAACAAATAATGTTTCTTCTGTGATCCAGAGGTGATGAGGGTTTGGAGCTGGAGCTGGAAATCGTGGGTTCCTGGCTCCCAGCCCCGCTCAGACCGTGGGACTGTGTATCCCTGCCAGCCCTTTGGGTTATTGTGTTTGCTGGGACATTCCCTCCCCTGATAGTGGCAGTGGAGACACTCGGCAGTAAATTCCCTCGTTATCTCACCCCGGCCATCAAAAGGGGAAACAGTTTAAGTGTATCCATAACAGGGTGGATTTTGCAAGACTTTGGTTTTAAGCAAATCCCATCTCGGGTTTTTCCTGCCCACAAGGCTTGTTGTGATGTGAGGCACCTCAGTGTGAGCTCAGGCAGGTGTGATCATTGCATCACCTTGATCCTGAGAACATCCCTCCAAATCCCAGGCAAGGCCAGGGATGGTGCAGCCCTGAATTCCCAGGATGTGATTCAGTGACTGGGGTTGAAACTCATTCAATTCTTGACCCATTTTCCTTAGCTCTGCTACTTTTTAATGCTTTTGCTGATGTGCTGAGTGATTGATTTCTGGCTGGGTAAGCAGGTGCTGGGTTTGCAGCAGGTCTGGAGGGAGAACTTGGGATGGGGAGGGAGAAATGCTGCTGGCTGTATGGCCAAGGGGACCCCACTAAGCACCATGTGCTGGAAAAATAAAACTGTAGGGTTTGGAGGAGAACTGAGGGTGTACAAAGGGGAAACCTGGTGTTAGGCAGAGGTTGGTGAATGATGAGATCAATGTCCTGAGTCTAATCTGCTGCTGGAGCACCCAAAGAGCCGGGGCTGGGGCTGGCTGGCATCCTCCTGATTGTGTGGAGATGTGGGGCTGCATCCCTCCTGCCATCCCTTGGCTCCTCTTCCCTGCCTGCCCAGCAATCCCTTGGATCCCCTCCCTGCCCCTGGTGAGGCTGCAGCCCCTGTGGCTTTTGGCTGCTCCCCCCCCCTCACCTTTGGGGGTGCTGTGCCCCCCTCAACACCAGAGCCACCGAGGAGCTGTTCCCCCTTCCCGCTGCAGCCCCCCCCCCACAGTGTCAGCAGGTTGAGGCTGGTGACAGGTACATCCCCATGGGAAGCTTTATTGGGACATTCTGACTGTTCCAAGCCGGAATCCAGCAGTATTCCCAACCTCCTGCCTTGCTCTCGTACAGGGGGGCTGGCGGCCGTCATCTACACCGACGCGCTGCAGACGCTCATCATGGTCCTGGGGGCTGTTGTGCTGGCAGTGAGAGGTAAGAGCTGCTCCAGGGGGACCTCCCCTCCTCACTCAGGTGGTCGTGGAGGTAAATAAAAACACTCAGTCTGAGCCATTCGTTGGCCAAGATGCCCAGCAGGACTTCGGTCCGTGGCAATCACCTGAATGTGGTGCCCCTGTGTCCCCCCTGCTTGCCCTGTGTGCCATTCCTGCAGGTGCAGATGCCATGGAGCATCCCCCTGGTGCTCCACGTGGCACTGTCCCCAGCAGTGGTGACATTCCTGTGGACATGATTGCTCCATATTTGCCTCTCACTCTGAGAGACTGCTCAAGTATTTGACAGTGAAGCAGCATTCCCAGTTCTGCTCCGGGTGTTTTGGTGGGGTCTTCAGACAGGATCCTGCTGCCTGGGGATGTGCACAGCAGAAGGTTGGTACTGGAACAAGGAACGGCTGCAGGGGTGGGATGTGGAGCATGTGGAGCGTGGTGCCATGCCCTGCTCTGGGTTGGAGTGATTATAGTTCATCACCAGCCCTTCCTGAACCCCCAGCACTGTTGTGTCTCCCTAAATTCAGCCTCAGAGCATCCTTGTGAGGACGGGAGCTTTCATCAGCCTGGCTCTGCCATCGGGGCTCTTGGCCCCGAGGAGCAGGAAGCAAAAAGTTAAGTCCCAGCTTCAAAGGCAGGTGTTTAACTACAGAGGATGATTTCCAGAGGCACTCCTGAGATGATTTCCACCATCTCCTGGAGAAGGCAGCTTAGGCAGGCAGGTAGGAAAGGCTCTGACCCAGAGCTGTGGAGGTGGGAGCAGCCCCAGAGCTGTGACCAGCCCAGTCCCATGGCTGCTCCCCTGTGCCAGAGCAGAGCTCGCTCCTGGGCGAGCCCTTGGACACAGCAAGGTGTATTTACAAGAAACAAATGAAAGGACAGAGACTTCCTGGAGAAGGGACAACAACAATTAAGTACCCCAGCAGTGGCACGGAGCTGCTCCAGGCAGAGGAGCTCGTTGCCTGTCGAGGCAGAACAGAGCAGTGGCTGCAGCCTGTGCCTTAGACGTGGTGCCTGGATGTTGTGGATCGTTGTCTGGAGCTGTCCTTGGCCGTGGGGCTCTCTGAGGCTTGTCTCTGCCAGGCTTGGCTGGTGCAGCTGCACAGAGCCAGAGGAGGAGGGCAGGTAGGCAAAGCCTGGAAAATCCCCTCTGGCAGTGGCAGAGCCCAGCTTGTTTTGGCTTTGCTGCCTGCAAGCGTGGCACGGTGTGTGCAGGGGGGTGAGGGGGCTTGGCAGAGGGACTGAGCCAGGGGAGCCAGAAGATGAAGCTGCTGGTTGCACAGGTTTTTCCTCAGGTCTCAGGAGACCTCAGGACCTGGAGGTGGGTGTGCCCCAAAGGTGTTTGGTTTTCTCCAGCTCCTGTAAAGCTCAGCTAATAAAGGACACTTTCAATAGAGTCATGGAATGGTTTGGGCTGGAAGGGACTTAAAGCTCATCTTATTCCATCCCCTGCCATGGGCAGGAACACCTTCCACTAGATCAGGTTGCTCCAACCCCCGTCCAACCTGGCCTTGGACACTTCCAGGGATGGGGCAGCCACAGCTTCTCTGGGCAACCTGTGCCAGGGCCTCCCCACCCTCACAGGGAAGAATTTTTTCACTTTGCTGAACAGAAACCTTGGCAGTGCCATTGGTGGCTCTGCTTAGCTCTGGCAGACTGTGCCATCCTGCCATTCAGCACAGGAATGTTAATCCCAGCAGAGCCCATGGGCTGCATCCTGGCATCTGCAGGCTGAGCTCCCGCTGCCTGGAGGATTTTGCTCCGCTCTTCCTTCTTGGCAGGCGTGGGTGCCGTGACTTGCTGGTGAGCACCTTTGGGAAGGGAGCAGGCTCTCACCCCCGGGCACCAATCTCTGCTTTCAGTACTCGGCCTCTGCCTCTGGAGAGCCTTTGTTGGTGCCCAACGCCCATGCAAAGCTTGGGAGTAGCCGGCGCCTGGATAAACCAAGCGCTGGAGGGGGGCCAGGGCTGCTTGTGCAAGAGCAGGAGGAGTTCACAAATGCTGACTCCCTGTGAAACTCGGGAGGATGGGTTGCAAGGGGGGGACACGGTGGGTGATGCCCCTTTGCCAGCTCCCCAAAAGCCTCAGGTCAGGGGGCTGCCCTGGGATGAGGACGGGGCTGTAGGTTGGTCATGGAAATGGGAGGACTGGAGGGGGAGGGCTGTCCTCTGGCAGGAGGGGACAATGGAGCAGGATGGGTGGCTTGGAAATTGGGATTTGTTCAAGCTGGCATTTGATGGTGATCCTAGTGCCCAGCATCTGATACCTGAGGGATTTGGTCTAAAGACAGCAGGGCTTGTGGACACGGTCCTGTGGGAGGGAAACTGCTCAGGAGCACATTCCCACCTCCTGCTGCTGCACTGGAGGGGCCCAAGCTGAGGGTCTGAACTGCAGGGGCAGAAGGGATACAGGATGTGACAGCTGGACCAGATTTGGAGAAACCCAGTGAGGGATGCTCGTGGGTCTTGCTTGGAGTCTCCTCCCCTCCATGAAACCTCTGGAGCCTCCTCTCTGCTCCCGAGCACCAGCAGCTGCCGTGGGTATGGGGGTGCCAGTGCCCCTCCCTGCCCGTCTCCCCCAGGCTGCTGTGTGGGTGGCCGTGGTGTGTGGGGGGAGCAGGGCAAGTGCCTCCCCTCCCACCCTCCTCCAAAAAGTGATGCCTCTGGCTCCAAAATCCTCCCACTGGAGGTCCTGGGGGAGCTGCATTCATTCTGTGCTCCCCAGGAGCAGGGAGGTGGTGGGGGGCCAGGGCAGAGCCCAGGGCTGGTTGGCAGCGGCTGCAGGCAGGAGGAGCACGAGGCATCTGCCAAGGGCTTGGAGGCTCACTTGCTAGGGCTTGTTCATGGCACATACTCCTCATCAAGGCTCAGGCTCAGACCTTGGATCCCATTTCCTAGGAAAAATCCAGTGAAAAGGGTCTTTTTTTTCTTTTTCTTTTTTTTTTTTTTACTGGTTTCTGGAGGTTTGGGGGTGGGGGCACATGGGGGATGCTGGGGAAATGCTCAGGGGAGTACAAAACGTTTGGCTGGACACTTGTGCCAAGGCACCTTGAGCTGCAGTTTATCGAGTGGAAGGCCACCTAATCTTGCATTTCAATAGTCCTGGGCAAGGTTCCCCTGCCCTGGGACCAGGGAGCTTTAATGAACAGGTTGCTTTTACAGTACAAGGTTAAAAGAGGTGGGTCCCTTGAGGAGCCTTTGTCCCAGGACTCGGGTCACCCTCCAAAGGGAGAGTGGGCTGCAATGGGACCTGCTGTGCAAAATGGTAATAGAAGAGTCTCTTAAATAACTAGAAGAAAACACGATCACGGACGAGCCCTCCCTCTCTGGGCAGCACTTCTGGGTTAACGAGCTGGTGAGTGCTCTGCCAGCTGATCTCACAGACCACTGGGTTTTACTGCACTCTGACCACCTCCCCCAACGGTGCTTTCCAGCTTTTAATGAGATCGGAGGTTACCCCAACCTGGAAGAGGCCTATGGAAAAGCGGTGCCGTCCAAGATCGTTCCCAACACTACCTGCCACCTGCCCAGAGCGGATGCCATGCACCTCTTCCGAGACCCGGTCTCCGGAGACCTGCCCTGGACCGGGATGACTTTTGGGCTGTCCATCATGGCCACGTGGTACTGGTGCACCGACCAGGTAAATGTAAACAAGAACCCCCTGCCCCGTGTAACGCGGCCTGGGCTCCAGGCAACGCTCCACCACCGCTCTCGCCCCGCGGGGACCACCTGCACCAGGCCCTAGTGCTCCTTCTGGCCCGTGCTCTCGGGGGGCTGCTTTTTGGAGTCCACGGAAGCACCCGGGGCTCCCGCAACCCTGTTCTTGAGGTGCTTGGACTGGGACAGTTTGGAGAGCGGGATGCCGAGGGGTGTCCTCATCTCCTCGGTTGGCTTCTGGCCCTCGGGCAGGGAGGTGAAGCGTTTGCCCGACGCCCTGGGGTTGCTCGGGGAGAGGTGGCCGGGCGCCGTGGGCTTGCTGGGGCTGAAGGCTTTGCTCTGCCAGTAGGGCTGGCTGCCTGCAATGGTCTTTTTGGGTTCTGCTCCATCCCCTCTGTACTTGGTGGCCCCGAGGGGTTTCTCGTGCGTCGGGGAGCAGGAGACCTCCTTGCCCTGCTCTCTGCCCGCGGGGGTCCTGGGTCGGTAGCGATAGATGTGCGTCCCCTGTTCATGACAGAGCAGAGAAAGAGGTGAGCTGTGGCTGTCGTGAGGATGCTGCTCCCTGCAAGGACACCTCTGTGACATGGGCTTGGTCCTCATGGACAAATCCCTCTGGCACTTGGTGTAGTCCCTTGCCCAAATACTTCTGAGACCGGTGGCAGCTCAAAACTACCTCAAGTCTTAACTGTGGCTGCTGCTCTGATTTCTTTCTGTGATAACACACAGTCCTGCACATGCAGTGCTTCAGCAGCCACTTCCCAAGCAGCCTGGAGGCTGTCCTGAGCTAAGTCCCTGCTGCCTGGAGATCCAGGATAAGGCATCTCAACACCTTCTCTCCAGCAGCAGCCTCAACACCTGTCTTAATCATCTAAGCCCTCATATCAGGCACAAAGAGCATCCAGTCATCCAGACCTGAGCTGTGGGATTAGGTGACTGCCAAGATCAGATGAAAGGATGGAGGGCTGGGGGAGGAGGTGGGATGAGGAGGGAACAGTGAGCTGCAACAGCACTGCGGGGGTGGCTCTGATTAGCTGGGTTGAGACACATGTTTGGATCAGGTCTGAGCACCACTAATCATAATTCTGGACTGGGTAAGGCTGTAACACATGGCTGTGGTCACCAGATAGTGATCTCCTCTTTGGGTGTGACTGCAGATGCACCAGGTGAGATGGGATCTGGTGAGTGCAGGTGCTGATGGCAGGATGAGCTGGGGCCAGGAGGCTGCAGAGCTGGCTGTGCCACGGAACCCAGGTCTCCAAGGAGTCTGCACAGGGCTGCAGAGCTGGCTGTGCCACGGAACCCAGGTCTCCAAGGAGTCTGCACAGGGCTGCAGAGCTGGCTGTGCCAACCTGCCCAGCCTCTGCCATGACCCTTGCCATGCTGCCAGTGCCACATCTCCACCGAGCTGTTGGCATCAGCTTGGGGTTCAGCCAGTTAGTCCCAATATCCCAAAGGCCTCTTTGGTCCTGGAGCAGGCACCTCCTGTGCTGACCATGAGGGCTGTGTTAAAGCAGTTTACCTTAGGTGGTTCTGGATCGATTTTATTAGATGCTTAAAATCAGTGTTAAGGTCTGAGATGGCTTCAGGTGGGAAGGACTAAGGGTGATTTAGCTCCTCTCCCTCTGAGCTCATTATGTACCTGATGTGGTGCACATAGTGTCTGAGCTTGGGTGGTGGGTCCTGTAGCTCCTGACATGCTCTGGCTCTTGGAAAGAAGTTAAACTATGGCTTCCCCAAGCATTCCACCCTAGGATTTGGCACCCCATCCCTCCTATCCATTGGGGGAACGAGCCAGTTCTTGCTCAGGAGTGGCTGAATCCTGCTGGGTGCTGAGCATTCTCTATAAGCCTTTGTGGAGACCCTGAGCTCTTTTAAATCAGCAATTCCTACAGATGTTGACTATTTAGGAGGGATTGCCTCAAAACCCCAGGGCTGGCTGTGTTGTGGATGGATACAGCTTGGCCAGAGCTTTGAGGTGTGATGGTCTGAGCAGTGGAGTTGTGGGAGGAGGAGGCTGGACTCGGTTTCCTTGTCACTGTGGGCACTCTTTGGGGAGCAGATTGAATTGAAGGGGCAAGAGTGGGGAGAATAGTGGTGGGGAATGGTTGATACTGCCAGGAGGGACGTGCTGCTGTGGTTTAACACCAGCCCGTTAGTGGTCTGGAGAGAAACCTCGCTGTGGGCTGGGAACACATCTATGCTGCTTTTGGGAGCTGTGCTTGGGCCCTGTGCCCAGTGGCTCCAACATTTGGGATGCACTTTGGTAAGGAGGAGGCTGCTGTGGTGTTGGTGCTGCTCATCCCTCCTGCCTGGCCCTCCACAGGTCATCGTCCAGCGCTCGCTCTCTGCGAAGAGCCTCAGTCACGCCAAGGCCGGCTCCATCCTGGCCAGCTACCTGAAGATGCTGCCCCTGTTTGTCATCATCATGCCAGGGATGATCAGCAGGGTCCTGTACCCAGGTAAGGGCCCCCCAAGCAGCTGTGGAGCCTGTGGGATGTGGATTTTCCCTGTCACTAAGGGATGAGTGGGAGGGGGCTTGTCTGGAAACCTCTGCTCTGCACAGAGCTGGGGGCTCTGCGGGTGGGACAGGGGCAGGAGAAGACACGGGTGTCCCCAGTGCCCTCCTTGAGCCTGCTGTGCATCCAGGTGTGAATGGGGTTGTGTGTTTAGGGAAGGTGATGTTCCAGGGAGAACTTGGGTGCCACGTTCTCCATGGAATGGAAAACATGGTGTTTGCCCTGAGTGAGCCCCCACCTGTGTTTTGGGCTATGCTGGGCCATGGGCCAGCACATGAGAAATGTGGACCCCAGAAAAAGGTGCTTGTGGGGGTTGATGGTGATTCCTGTTGGATTCAGGTTTTCTAGAGTCAGTCAAGGGTTGCTTTGGTTTATTGTTTTTACATATGGGAGAAACTCTTCCCTGCACATCTCCACCAGCTGAGCGCTGGCTTTCCTAACCCTGATGCTGTGTTAATTATCTGCCTCTCATCAAAGGGCCAGAACAAGTTACTGCAGGAACACCAGCGTACCCGGCCACCCCGAGCAGGGTGGCACCTGGGACCTGGGTCACAGCATCAAAGGGCTCTGTGCTCCTTGCCCTGCAGGACCAGGGGGTATTTGATGTGTGAGGATTAAAGCTCTGAGCTCCCTGTCACTGGCTGGGAAGGGAGAAGCAAGTGGACTCTGGGATAGTAAATTTAATTCCCTGTAAATACAGATCAGATGCTCAGCCAGGGTACCCTCAGGCAGTTTCAGTGACTTCAGCTGCTGATTTAACCCTGGGGGTTTGAATGCCCCAAAAACAGCGGGCGGGGAGCCTTGAGAAACCAAAATGCTTGGCAGTGGTGCAAGAGGCTGCAGCGCTTGGGTGGAAACAGGGGATTGCCCCTGTGATCCCCCTGCCTGGAGAGGGTGATGCTCCGGCCCTGGTGGGGATGCTGCCGTGCACCCCGTGCTCCAGCAGCGGGATCTGGGCATGCACCCCATGGAATTGCAGCACCCGTGCGGTGACAGGGCCTGGCGTCACCGCTGGATCAGCCACAAAGCTGCTGACTGTGGCACTCGCCCACAGAGGTTGCCGTCCCTGTTTCTCCGCTGTCTTGCTCTGCCTAATTATGTGTCCGAGTGCTTCTCCTTTGATGCTAATCGCCCTGGCAAGGTGCTGGAAAACAAGCCTGAGAAGGACACGCCTGCACGCACAGCCTGTCCCTGGCTGGGCATGGTGCCGCTGGTGACGGGCTGTGGATGGGGCTCAGCGAGTCCAGGCACATCTGTACAGCTGTGCCCGGAGCCACTCAGCTCCATCCCCAGCCCAATGCTGTGGGATAATCTTTAATTCCCAAAAGCCTCCCCTTTACCAGCTGTTCCCATTGCTAGACAACAAGACCTGTGGCACGGCCACCACCTTCCCAGCCAGGAGAACCTCTTGGGTAACTCCTACCATAGCCACGTGTAGGGTGTTATTCTATATGGGAAGTCTTATCTCGGCATCTGGGACCTGACACCAAAGCTCGGGATGACACCACGCCTTGGTTGAGCTAGCTGGGTCACCTCTGGGTTTGCAACCTCTGTAGGGTGGAGAAACATAAGGTCATTGCAAAAAGTCCTACCTGGGTGGCACTGCTGGGGTAGGAGCTGTTGCCATCCAGGATGGTGCGGGGCAGCACACGCCTGATCTCCACGGCGTTGCTCCTCCTCTTCGTCACGTCCTCCACGCGGACGTGCTTCAGGGACGGGAGGCTGCCCAGGGGGCTGAGGAAGGTGCCCCGGCTGATGTGGGGGTCACTGAGCTTCCTCTGCATGGGGAGGATCTCCCCGTTGTGGGTGACATCCGAGTTGGTTCTCCGGAGCGGCCCGTAGCGATCCCTCACCTCGAAGTACTCGTCCGAGATGGAGGAGGCGTTGGAGCGGCGGTAGCTGTGGTCAGCAGAGCTGCTGGAGTAGCTCTCCTGGTCACTGAGAGTGATGTACTCCTCTTCCTCCTCCTCCTCCTCCTCTTCTCCCAGCCCGTTGTGGGAGCAGGGAGGCCCTTTGTCCTCTTGTGGCCCTGCCACGGGCCGGTCTGGCTGGAGGTGGCAGGTCTCCATGGAAGCTCCGTTGGGTTTCTCCTCCCGCTCCTGCTTCACACCCTTATGGTCGGCCAGCGGTGGTTGTGTTGTGTCACCCTCCAGGGCAGTGCTGCTGTCACAGGTTGTAATGACTTTGGTCACGAGGACACCAACGGGGACGGTCCTTGGCTTTGGAACTGGTGGTTTGATGGTCTCCAGTGTCTCCTCCTGTGGCTTCAAGTGGTGGCCCAACGGTGAAGAGGCAAATGTTCCTGCTTGCTTCGTTGTCCAGCTGATGCCTTCCATGTGGCTGGTAGTGGGCACTGTAGGGGCTTCCATGGGGGGCTGTGGGATCTGTCTCTGGCAGGGGGACAGCAGAGGCGGCTCTTGGTCTGAGTTTTTCTTGGCCTCCATCTCCCTGTTCTTCAGCATCTGCCGGTGCTGGGCGCTGGCCTGGGAGACGTCGCACACTTTGATGCGGTTCATCTGCGAGAGCTTCACGTTCTTGATCTTGGGGTCGATGATGTTGATGTAGCCCAAGACTTCGCTCCCGGGCTCGGGGTCAGGCTCCACCCAGGTGGGCAGATAGTCAAACATGTTGGCTTTCTCCAGATTCAGGAGGCCGGGGTGGATGAGCAGGGAGAGGTCTGCCATGTCCCCGTGCCGGTCGCCCCCCGGGCCCTCGGGCACGGCTTTGCCTTTGTTGTCTGCCTTCTGGTTCTTGTCCTGGTTCTCAGACGAAGTCTTGCTGATCTGGTCAGCGCTCTTGGCCTTCACCAGGGCGTATTTAGGGTTTATCAGCTTCTTCACCACGGCGTTGGCGGGGGTCACTGGCACGACCGAGGGCAGCGTTACGGGCTCGGGTTCGGGCTCTTCACCCATGGAGATGGACTTGAGGCTCACCCCCTTGGACATGAGGTAGAGCTCCTGGAACTGCTTGTCAAACGCCTCCACCACTTGGCCCGAGAGGACTGTGATGACGTTTCGGTCCGTCCTCGCCGCAGACCAGGTGAAGCTGGAACAGAAACACGTTGGAAACTCTCTGAGCACTCGCTGGTAAATAACACTCCTCTCCCCAACCCTGGCATTCCCTGGGGGATTGATGGTGCCAGCAGGGACATGATCTCATTGTAAACATTAATAATAATAATAATAGGATTGATGAAATAGCTCTCATCACAAATTAGAGTGAAGGGCTGAAGTCTTGAGCACAGTGGACTTGAAGTAAAAGGTACTTGCAGTGGGTCAGTTAGTTTTTCACTTTAGTGTTGGCTGCTTTTCCTTTCTCAGCTTGGGTTAGTTAAGAAAAGCAACTCACAAATGGATGTTATTTGTTGTGGCCAGAAAGTAGGAAATGCTTCAGCTCCATGTTTATAAAACTTATCTTTTAGAGCTCAGAAGCTGACTGGGGGTGATCTGTTTCTACCAAAGTAAGTTTTCATTTGGACAACGTGGAAAATACCTTGTGTAGGAAATGTTTAGCTGGAAAAGCTGAGGTTAGTGGGAGAGTTGGGACTGGCTGTGTTGTGGTTTGGTGCTTTGGTCCTTCCTTGTGCTTATTGCATCAAGTGGCAGAAAAAACTGGTGTGTCACACCACCTCTGAGAATGGCAGGTGTCCTCGACCTGTTGGTTTCAGGAGGTGGTGGGGACTCCTTGGGGCCCATTCCAAATCTCCTTGCAAAGTTTAGGAGCAGTTTAGGAGCAGGGAAGCAAGTCTGGGATGGGGTCCTGGGGCCATGCTGGGTGGGGACCAGGATTTAGGCCACGTGGGTTTGTAACGATCCTTTGACCAACACCTCCATGGGGGGAGGCAAAAGGGCAGGAGGAGAGCGCTGATTACCTGTAGGATCCACACATGGCTCGATCCCCATCCACGAACATGAACTTCTGGGCCAAAGCCCCCTTGAACTTGGTGGCCGAGCGCGTGAAGAACTCCGTCCCCCCGGTGCTGCGGACGCGCAGGTTCTGCAGAGCAAAGGCAGAGGCGTGAGCAGGAGCAAAGGGCTGCTCTGAGAGCATCATCCACCCCTCCATCAGTGTCCCCCTGGATGCTCCACAGCCCCTTAGAGGAACAGAACACTCTTCATGGCTGGCTCAGAGGAGGCCACAGCGATGGGGAGATAAAATAACTCTCCCAAGGCCACGGGGTGAACTCTGCACTCAGCCTGGAGAATTTCCTGCTTTGCCCATGTGCTGGGCCCTGTTTTCCACCTCTTGAACTCCGTGCTGCCTGTGTCCATGGGTGAGCAGTGTGTGATGGTGCTGCCAAGCGCTCTCCATCCCCTGTGATCTATGGAAATGCCACCCTGGGAGAGGAGATCCCACTCCTCCTCCCCAGCAGGAGATGTACAAGGGCTTTAGGGGGAGCTGGTGACCCCAGGACAGCACACGTGGATCTGGTGGCAGTGGGTTTGCTTTCCACCACACTCCCCCTTTTCTGTGCTCCTAAAATCTGAGTGTTTAGTCCTGCCTGGTTTTAGGGGTGAGTGGTGGGGGAAAGGCAGTGGGGCAACATCTTTTCACCCCCAGGAAGTGAAACCCGGTGATGAGGGAGCAGGTCCCTGTGGAGGGAGGGGGTATCCTCCCCAAGGGAGCCCAGGGATGGAGGGGCAGCCCTGGCTCTGCCAAAATACTTTTCTATCTCTAGTCTGGCTTCTGGCTCCAGCGTCTCTGTGGAGGGCACTGGCACATTCCAAAGTCACCAGATAGCATCTTCCACAGCAAAAGGGCTCCCTTGGGTGGGGAGCAAATATTTTCTTGTGAAAGCATCTGCATTCCTCCTGTTCCTGCTGGATTGTTGTTCATGCCATTGCTAAAGGCTCAGTGTTATCACTGGGTCATGCCCTCCACGGCTGTTTTTGTGTGCTTTTTGTTTTGTTGTTTTTTTTAAAGAAAAGCAACAAAAATATTGG